ATGTACGCCTTATTGCTGTCCCACTTCCCATCTCCATCTATGAGAGATAAGTTTTGATTATTAAATTTGTGTTAAAAAACACTAGCACCAACTGTTAATAAACAAGATTCATCAACTTGAGGCTGGACCTCTGGGTCTGATCAATGAGGGGAAACAATGCAAAGCTCTCCATTTAGATACAAATCAATCACAGACATGAACAGGAAAAAACTGGCAGACCTAGTTGTATGGGGAAAAAAATTCTTGGAGGTTTAGTGGATTGTCTGTTCAGTTTGAGACAGCGCCCAGGACTGCAGTCGAGACACACAAGGAAGGAGTGGAATTTATGTAAGAAAAGTGTCTTCTATCCCAAGAGGCCAGCATATTACACAGTCTTTCTGTTGGATACACAGAAAAGCTCATCACCAGTATGATGAGAAACTGGAAAAAAAACCGGTCCCCAGGGACATGCATAGAAACCATGAATGCAGTTTGAACAGAGCTACAAGATAAATGCCTTCCAGTGCTAGATAGTCTGAGAAGTCCAGGTGTGCTGCTCTAGCAAAGCAAAGCACAGGTAATTGGTTGACAGCAGAAAAGATGCTTCCCCAAAAGGCAACTTTTCACCAATTCCAGAGTCCAATAATGGCTGGTTCACCTAGGGAGACAACACTCCCTTTCTGCCTGTAGTGGTATCAAGAATGTGATGTCAGGAGGATCTTTAACGTGACTTCATCTCTTCAAGGTTAGGATTCTGTTATATCATACTACAAATCTTCGGTGGTTCTCACCAAAACAGACAGCAGACCACAGGGCTCTCAGACGCTTCCCCTTGATCAGCCATTATTTCCTGGAGCATAGGCAGCACAAGGCACCTGCTGAGTTCCCCTCAGGGGCATTTCCTTCATCTCTAAACTGCGTTCAAATATGCCAATGAATCCCAATTTCCAGTGTCTGCACTCCTGTCAGGGGTAGTGCCATCTCCCGGCTTCCCAGAGCCGACTTGCTCTCATTTTTCTACATCCAGAAACCCACTTCCTCAAGATGTCACAGTTCTAACATTCCCTGTTCCTGCTCAGCTCTGAACCAGGCACTGTCACCTCACAGTTGTGACACTGCCCCATCCCCAAGTCTGCCTATCTCTCCTTCCTCTACCCCCCCCCCCATTTTACATGCCACATCACTTCTTTGTCCTACTGTCCCAATAGGAAACTTTCAGCAACAGCTCCAAGGAGCAAGCATTGAGACAGAGGCACTGTGGCCAGGACTCCCGCAACTCAGGTTCAATAGCAGGGACTATGCAGGAGGAGGGAAGCCTGGCCACCTCCATACCAGTACATAGTAAGTTTGGAGATCTGTGTGGTCAGCAACCTGGGGCACAGCTGAAGGAATCGGATACAGAGCAGGCAAGCATCAGAAGTATCCCTGAGAACTGGGAAAGAGGTGAGGGTTTGCTAGTCATGAAGCCCCTGCAGCCACCCCAGTGGGCCAGAGACCGAGTTAGGGTGAGGAAAGGCCAAGCTGTACATAGTGAATCATCTTACCTCAATTAATTAGAATTCCAGATGTATGAAGAGAAAAAACCCACACCCCGTGACCAGTCATGGGACGGGCATCTGCCTCTCACCTCTCACTGGCAAGTTTAAAGATGGGCTCTTATAAATAAGAAACTATTGAAAACACTTCTTTCTTTTAAAAAGTCATTATTTGGCTTCAACTGCCTCATTTTCTCTGGCTACGAGTTTCAAATATCTGCAAATATGCATTGCATAATGACCCTCTGGCAGGCTGCAAAATCACATCTTGTTGCCTTTCATGGAAGGAAAATGAAGAATTATGAGAACAATGACAAGGTCTTTCTAACCCACTACTTTATCAGTTCTGTGCCTGTTTAAGGCAAAGAGAGGACATCAGAGCAAAGCTCTCAGGTGAGGGAGAATTTGACTCTGTCAAAGGAAAATGCTGGTACCCAGGCTTCACTAGATTTAACTCAACTTGAGCTGGGAAGATCTTTTGCAGCTGATTCTCCCCAGTTTACACATTTAGAGAGGGGACAGACTTTGTTCTCAAAACCTAAGGTCTTGGTGCAGCTACTGCTTTCAGATGCTTCACTATGCAGAGTGGTGTGGGGAGAAGTCCCTGCAGATAGTGCTCTGGTTTTGTAAAGAGGGGATTTCATTAGAAATATCCAAAGAATAAATTTGATGGATACTGCTGTTGCTGAATTTCAGCCACTGGCCTGGAACTGAGCATACCCTGCAGGATCACGCAAGACTTTTGTCTGACATCACAATGAGTGAGCAGGACACGAGCTGTGGGTGTCACCAGGGTCCTTCTGTCTAATAGCACTGTGAGCCCCAAGGCACAGGCTGGCTCTTGGCCGTTTTCCTGTTCTCATGGTGTCAAGAACCCGTGACTATTATGAACCTGCCTTCGGAAAGATTAAAGATGGAGGCAGAAGTCCCTGCTGGTCCAGTGCTCCGCAGCTGGGTGGGGAAGCAGCCCTGGGGAACCAGAGAGTAAGCACACACTAAGTGTGCCTTGCAGGGAAAGCACGATTCCCCCAAACTCATCTTTTGAGGCTTTCCAATGATTTATCCATGTTATTTAGAAATGCAGTGAAGATTTTTCTATGTATTGTTTAAGTTATTTTCCCTACAACATGATGCCAAAGAACAATTGCCCCCTAGTTGTTGCAACACCACAGGCTGGGTGCCAAGAGGTGTTCATTACCACTGTTCTTTTTAACCAACCCCCTTTTCCCCCCCCGGTCACACCCTCTCACACCTCTCCCCACAACAGTGCGCTATACTCTCACACCACATGTGCGCCGATAAAAAAAAACACCCGAAAAGAGAGAGTGTCAAAAAAACAATTTTATTTCTTACAGTTAAGGAGGCTGGGAAATCCAAAACCAAGGTGCTAGCTTGGTGAGGACCTAGTCCCTCTACTTCCAAGATGTCACCCTGCTACTGCATCTTCCAGAAGGGAGGAAGGCCATGTCCTCACGTGGCAGGAAAGGAGAAGAGCATGAGACCTCTCTCAAACTCTTCTCGCACAGCGTTAATCCATTGGTGAGGGTAGAGCCTCGATACCTCAACACCTCCCCAAAAGCTACACCTCCCAATACTGGTACATGGAGATCAACTTTCTAGCTCATGGCTTGGGGGACACACTCAGATCATGGCACCCCCTCTATCTTCTCTCTGCCCAGACTGATTCTCTTCCCTGTTCCCACCCCACTACCCCACCACCCCAATCTTGCCCTCATTCTATTTCCTTCCTGGAAATGTAATAAGAGTCTCACTTTGCTACTGTAAGTATACTAGGTTTTATGACCTTTTAGGACCAGGACTGGTTGTTGGAGTCGATTATAGCCATGATAAGCTATAATAAAGTTATACAGATTCATTAATTCTGTTGTCACATGTACCCCCCAAATCAATTTTTATTGTAAAATTTCCTCCCATCTCACTAGCTTTTAGGGTCCTCAAGACATTTCAGGGAGCTTTAGAGAGGGACCAATGAACATGCAAGTTGGAAAGGGCTCCCAACAGACACACGGAAAACACCGAAACCAGATATCGGATACTCATCTTCCCTCCACCTGGCTAAGTCACCCCAGTAGCCTCAACATTCCACTAGCCTCCCAAGGTCAACTGTATCAGTTTCAAAATAGAGTCATTTCCATTTTCCATAGGAAAAAAGTCAAAAAAGAAAAGGGAGGGCATATTTTCAATCTCCCGAGAGAAACCATAGGTTTTTCTACTGTGAAACAGGAAAAAAAAAATTCTCAATAATATAGAGTAAGGAAAATGGAGAAAAAAAATTTAAAAAAAAAATCGAGGCCCTGGGACCCAGGAGGCATGCACAGGGAACAAGCTATCCTGCCACATGAGGGCACCATTGCCAGGAGCCTGGAAGCCTGAAAGTAAACGTATTGCCCAAGACAAGAACCATGCTGGCCACACACTAATCAGTCATAGCTGAGTGATCCTGGGGACAGTAGAGTCCCCAAGAAGCAAATAACATAAGCAAGACCTGAGAATGTGGTTCAACCAGCGTCCATAGTCATGCCTAAGTCAGGGTGGGCAGTGACCATGGGATAGAAAAGGTCTGGGCTGACCACAGCCCCTCCAAGGACCCAGGAAAATTATGTTTGTTCTGCAACCTGTTCAAATTCCACACCTGGCCCCCAAGATGCTCCCTGCTCAACCCTCTTCCCAGAGTAACTTCTCTCCTCTCCCACACTCCTACCCTAGCCTTGCTGCACCACACACCTGCCCAGGACAGGACTCTTCTCACTTCTCCCAACGCCCTCCAGCCAGGTCATTAACATCCCCACCAACCAGAACCCAAAGGGGACAAAGCCAGACCTTCACCTAGCTTCAGGCACACTGAGTGAAGAGGTGGATCTGCCTCCTGGCAGCACTTCACAGGGTGTGGGGACCTCTCGAGTAAAGCCACAGCTGGGCAGGTGTATGCCAAGGAAAATGATTAGATTCTTATAACCAAGTGTGATTTCCTCAACTACAAGATGAGGACATAATCCTTGTGAAATCATTCTCAAGGAAATAAGTTAGATTATGCTTGTAAGACACCTAGCACAGTGCCTGGTACATCTTTAATAAATGTTGGTTGGTTTTATAATTGTTGGGAGAGGCAATCTCAAATTCTTTCATGTACACATATTGACATGCATATACATGTGCACAACATATAAAGAGGTACGTAAGTATCTTAACAGAAATGAACATGAAATACAGGAGGAATATAGATACTACAGCTATAGTATTATGTTGTAATATTGAAAACTAAAGATGCCAAATCCATTTGATTACAGCTTAAGAAGATGAACTGAAATTTCATAAACTGTTTGCAATTTAAGTGTACTTTAAATCTGCAAAGTAGTAATCCTCATACTGAGACAGGATCTCATTTTTCCAAACCATCTCAGAGAAGGTAAAAGAAAGGCATATGGTATGCAAACCGAACAATATTCAACCTTAATTTTCTCTTACCTTTGAGCCGACAAGAGTGTATAGCCACTGAATGGTTTCATTGTGGTTTATTACTCCGTTCATCCCATCCACGTACAACATAATCTGGCCCAAAGCTACAGAAAGAAAAAAGGAGACATTATGGGCATTTATATAAACAACGATCACAATATTGATATTTTCATACTTAAGTACACAGTATCTTAGCAACCACATCTCATAAGTACTGAGCTTTGAAATTAGCTAAATCTCATTTCAGAGAGAAAGTATTGGCTAAATCAAAATAAAAGGTGTGTTTCTTACATGTGGAAGACACATGAAGATATCAAATCCAGTGATTGTTATTTATGTGTACCTTAATGAATAAATGCATACTTTCCTGTACTTCTGTGTATCCCAGACAGGACAAAGATAGCATGCAATGGTGTCTGCACCCTCCATTGGAGCCAAGAGGACCCAGAGTGGGTCAGCAGGTCCTACAGGACCATCCCAAGCTAATTCAATTTTATTCCCTTAAATAACTAAGTATAGTTATTATATTACTTATTTATATAAATAAGTAATAAACTTAAATAAGTTTATTACTTATTTATAATTTCCTTTGAAGATTTTTCTGATTTTCTGATGTCTGTTATGGGAAAGTCATTTGTTACACACCAAGTTCCTTTTTCTTTGGTGGGGCGGGGAGGGGGTGTTACTGGGGGTTGAACCCAGAGATGATTAACCACTGAGCCACATCCTCAGCCCTTCTTTTATTCTTTCGGGAAGGGTCTCACTAAATTGCTTATGGTCTCACTAGGTTGTTGAGACCAACTTTGGACTTTTGATCCTTCTCAGCCTCTCCAGCCACTGGGATTACAGGCATGCACCCACCAAGTCTTAAGTTTTTAATTCACATATTGTCATTCTCCAAAAAGCAAATGCAAGCTGGACACAATGGTGCACGCCTGTAACCCCAGCAGCTTGGGAGATCGAGGCAGGAGGATCACAAGTTCAAAGCCAGCCTCAGCAACTTATCGAGGTGCTAAGCAACTCAGTGAGACCCTGTCTCTACAATCAAAATAGGGCTGGGGATGTGGCTCAGTGATTAAATGCCCCTAAATTTGATCCCTGGTATCAAAAAAAATGGAGGGGTAACAATTATAAGCCAGCTTTTTAAACATTAATTCCATTTTTCAGCTCCATTAGCATCAAAATAATTTGGACTCCAGATAATGAACAGAGTTACACCCAACATGAGTAGGCTTCCTTAAGTCATGTGACATCAATCATATTTCATCCTTAATTGATATAACATTGATATTGTTAGGCAACTTTTTTTTCTTTTGCTGGTAGTAGGACATCTCATTTTAGTTATTTGGAAAAATACAGATGAATAAGATGAAAATTCATAATTCTATAACTTAACGATAATTCTTAATATGGTGATAGTTCTTTTAATCTTTTTTATGCATTACATACAATAGAAAGTTTACACATAGGTTGTAGGAAACAATCTATGTAAAATGGTGTTGACTGAAAATGGCAAGTCGGAATACTGAGTATGCATCAATTATACAATCCTGTGACATTAGAGAATTATTCTATAGAGAAAATGACCAAACAATGCTTCTGGAAAATGCTGTACACATGAACTCAAAAAAGAATTTTAGATGATTGACATAACCTTGACACAATCAACAGTATATATTTGGAAATAAAATCATTGTAATTAGTGGTAAAACACTGGACATATTCCTATTAAAATGAGGAATATTTTTAAGTGATGGTAACTTAAGCCCATGATAAATTCATCTGAAATTATGTAGTGTTAAATAAGAAGTCATTAATAAGAGCTAGAATGGTCGGAAATGAATACATAACATTGTCATTTGTTAATATAGGCAAAAATTTATTAAAAAATCACAATTATTTCTCACCTTGATTAAACATACCAAGAAATTAAATTGATATAAAAATGTAATACCAGATTATGTATGTAACAAATATAACAGAAGATTAATTTCTTGTGTTAATAGCTCAAATTACCTGATAAGAAAACACTAAATGCCAATAGAAGGCAAAAATCATTTTGTAAGCTGGTTTACACATAAAGTCACTCACTCTTGCTATAGTGAAACACAAATTGAGACAATTATGAAATAGCATCTGAAGTTGGCAAATATCTTTAAGAGAAATGACTTCAGAGGTTAAATAAGTAACTTCATATCCCTGATGTTAGGGCAAACTAGTAGAAACCCTGGTAGGATATTTTGTGCTATAATTTTTTTTTAAATTACCAGTTATTTAGTGTTGTGTACTAAGCTCTGAGAGGGAGATTTTAGGCATGTTATTATTTTAACAGTCTGTAATGGTTATTAGTACTCCTATTTGATGGGGGAAAAAAAACAGACAGAAGTGAAGGAATGTGACCAAGTCTCCATCACTGGCACATGACTAGCTTTAAAAAAAATCAAAATCAATAAACACCAACCAGCCAGGTTCCAGAACTCAAAGCTATGCCCCAATCAATAAAATGTTTAATAATTAAAAAGCAGGTATAAAAGTGTATCAATTCAATTAAACACTCAAATCCTTGTACCTAGCAGGAAAGTTCATAAAATATTAAGCATTAAGACTGAGTATATGGTCTTTGGATGTACTTTTTCCTACTCCTGTTTTCCTATATTCAAGTATGAAAATCACTTCTGTAATAGGAAAATAAACAATATGTAAAAGGAAAAAATAAGATTGAGTAAGGTTGCGAGATGTTTTCATAGATTTTTTTTTGGGGGGGGGCAGGGGTGAAGGGAGTGGGTACCAGGGACTGAACTCAGGACAGTTGGCCACTGAGCCACATCTCCAGTCCTGTGTTGTATTTTATTTAGAGAGAGGGTCTCACTGAATTGCTTAGTGCCTCGCTTTTGCTGAGGCTGGCTGTGAACTTGTGATCCTCCTGCCTCAGCCTCCTGAGCCACTGGGATTACAGGCTTGTGCCAACACACCCAGCTGTTTTTAGAATCTTTGACTCGTCCCCATCCATCCTCCTTCGAGAGATGCAGCCCCAACTTCATGGAGGAGCCGAGAGATTCAGCACATCCTGCCCACATTTTCCCCGAACACTTTTCCTCCCAAGATCAAAGGGTCAAGTCTCTAGGGAAGGGGAATTGGCCCCACAGCCCTTTTCCAGTTCTCAGTTTCACTGTTGAAAAAGCCAATCTTGAAGTACATTTTAGCATTTTCTAATACATACATATCAACTTAATGGCACAGGAAGATAAATGGGCTCTTCAAGTTTCTGGAAAGTACAGCCTATGGAGAGAACCAACCCTGAAAACAGATAAGCCAGGAATAAATGTCTATCTAACTGCTCAAGGTTTATTAGGGCATGAATGTCTAGAAGTTGGGAGATTACTACAGAAGGGAGAAGGCCAGTGAAGAGCTAACCACCAATTTCATTTTCCCCAAAACTATACGAACTGATCTCACTCGAGAAGTGTGTACCAGAAAGTTCATGTCGAGTTCAAGTTCCTGATCACACTGACTTGGCATCCAATTTTGACATGCAAAACCCAAGCTTGCCTGCTACATCACTCGTACCCAGTCTTCACGCTGAAGCAATCCTTCCTGCAAAATCCACTCCAGACACAAGATGGCACTGAATAGACTCAATTGGGTTAATATCGTGCTAGGATTCAACAGCAAATTCAGCAACCTGCAGGTGGACTGAGAATAAAACCCACAACGGAAAAATAGACGTCCTGAAAACAGACTGTTATAGGAGCCATGAAAATTGACGATCTGAGTTTTTCTGCACTCATGGAACTTAATCTTGGCATAATTATCGATTTTTCTGTGCATCGACTTCTCAATTTCAAAGATGAGTAGTTCTATGGTACCTATGTTGTAGGGATTCAGTTAGAACAGTACCTGACCCACTGTAAGTGCTCAATGAATGGTAACCTCAAGTTAAATATTACCTCACTACCATCCAACTTCACTCCTGCACCAACAGAAGCATGTCTTGAACACTTCCTTAAGGCACAAGGCTGGGGAGCGAGCCCTCCAGCCCTCACAGCTGACCTTACTCAACTGTTCACCATGAGATGCAATGCAATAACTCTTCTAACCCAAACTCACCAAAATTGTGTGTTCTTGTAAGACATTTAGAGTTTTACTTTCTGCATAACTACATCATACAGTTTGAGATAATCTAAACCTCATATTTTGTACAAAAATTGAGTTTTTTTAAAAAAACATGGATGTCCAATTTAATACCGTTGAGACTTCCTTTCTCTAATTGCTTTTGCAAATTTGCCAAAAATCACTTGGCTGTGTTTACCTGGGTCTCTTTCCGTTCCACTGGTCTATTTGGCCCTAGGCAAGACCCATTATCAGAAGTACCGGGAATGTGATTCCTCCCACTTCTCTCAGCTTTTCAAAATTGCTATTTGTTATTTTGCCTTTTCACATAAGTTCTAGCATCAACAAAAAGTGTTTCTGAAAATATTGGAACTATGTGTAGGTAAATTTTGGGAGAACTGACATTCTTGCTGTATGTTGAGTTCACACACCCAGTAGGCCTATTTAGATTCCCTATTTTGTTAGTTTAATTTTTAATTACAATTCTACAACATTTTCTGTTAAATTCATGTTCTTTGGAGCTACTGTAAATCGTGTTTTAAACACTTCCATTCCCAGTTTTTTTATTAGTATAAAGAAGTAAAATTGGTGTGTTAGCCTCAGATCCTTTAGCAATTTTATTAATTCTTGGATGTTTTAGGTTTTAATGATTTGTTTTTGTGGATTCCACTGCATTTTCTATATAGACAATATTGTCTTGTGAACAACAACAGTTTCTTCCTTTCCAATTTATACCAGCTGCTGTGCCTTACTGCAGTGGTCAAGACTGAGTATAATGTTGAATAGGAGTAGTGGGGTGGGCTTGCTTTGTTCCCAGTATGGGGGGAAGTCATTAGTCTTTCACTAGTATAAGGTTCGATGTAGGTTCTTTAAACTACATTTTACCAAGGTAAGAAAATTTCCTCCAATTTCTAGTTTGCTAAGAGTTTGTTGAGTCCGGAAAATCATTTGACAAAACTCATCAACTGATACGATGTGGGTTTCCTTCAGACTG